TAAATGATATAATCGCATATGATTATTAGTTTGAGATTTAATATTCGAGGTTATGTGTAAATTCGAATGGCCTGCAGTATTATATATAGGGTAGCACGAGTTGTGGATATATATATGTCCATAAGTGTATGTGCATATCAGTAAAATAATGGATGACTTCATTCAGATTGTTTCTTGTACAAAACTATTTGTTATTTTTTAAATGATAAGTAGTAGAAGAAATACTCTCGAATGAAACACCTATTATTATTAATAAGTGAACAACTGTCTACACTAAGTAAAAACTAAGTAATAACCAGCGTGATCTAACTCTTATTTCTGAACAAATACTAATCAGAATGGGTTTTGTGGAGATTTTTAGAAGTTTTAATGGTTGAAATTATGAGTCACTTAAAGCTAGACCACTTCAGGAGATACTCCTGGAGTTCTACTGAGAAGCCGTTACCATTGGAGTTCAACCAATTCTGTTATGAGATATCAGCTCACTGAAGACAATGGTGTACGGTGGCGCAACTTCGTGAATTGGTTGAAGTTAGACATTAACACCGTTGGATGCCGGCTCAGTAGTCCAGTTTGTTAAGCGCCTGGCGCGAGACTGATAGGTCCTGGGTTCGAATCTCGAGGGATGTGAGATCGTGGATGCTCACTGTTGAGGAGTCCAGTGATAGGACGAAACGGCCGTCCAGTGCTTCCAGGTTTCCCATGGTGGTCTAGCTTCAATTGACTCATGATTTCAATCTGTGAAAAAACTAATCAATCAAGTCATAATTTAGCCATTGGTTTCAGCGACTCAACATTCTAGTATATCATGTTTAATGTCAGAGAATCAAAGATAGCCTTAGAACAAGATTTCACGCTATTTGGTCCTTATGAGCGATTTATATCTATGATCTTGATGGGATTAATGATCTTTATGAGATTCAACTTAGAATTACGCAATGTCTCAGGAATTCAGGAACTACTCAGATAACATATGGTAGTAACTTCTTTGATTAAGAAACTTTATTGTATGGATTAGGATCTTATGACAGGTAATGATCCCTTTGACGAGTATAAACTAGGTTTGAAGTCTTTTCAGACTAAAGTCAACTATTAAAAATCAAGTAACTACTCCAAATCAATTTTGAGTATTGAAAATGAAAACGGAAATGTACTTCAAAATGTGTAAAGAGTGGCACTTTTTATGATCTTGAAGTAGTTAAAAATCAATCAATTACAATACATAACTGAATAAAAGTGGAAGAACAAAATTTGGAGAACAACATGAATTCATTATACTTTAAGATTTCTCATCAGCTCAAAGCAAATTATTGTTATAACGCTCGGTTTTACTTTGTCTAGTGTTATAACGGTTGGGTTTCCACGTTTACATGTATGGGATGTTAATTTACCTTAGACGAATATCTACACTAGATTCCCTCCCAGTGTCCATTCTTCAGGACTTCAACACAACTCAAATCAAGAATACGTGATTAGCCTGACCATAACGTAAATATATTTCCACACCAAAAACCCGACACAATCCAACAACAATGAACAATCAATAATAAGTGAGTCACAATAATAAGGATAAGGGAATATATAACTCATCTAACACTTGTCAGACTATGTACATATCTGACTAAGCAGACAACCAAACATTATCATTCTCGCCCACATATCAATAATAGTTAAGATTGGTTAGTATTGATATGATGAAGATGAAATCATAAAAAAGGGGGAAAAGGAGGAAAGTTGTAAGTGATAATAAATAGATAATGAATAGAAACAAATTATTAACAGATTAGTGATAGTTATGATGCCTAATTGACGTATAATTAACACTAACGTTGTAAATGGATGTCAGTATGATTTTCTACTTCAAGTTATAAATTATATTGAAAAGATAATGTAACTGACAAGCATTAAAGTAATATAACTATCTTACTGTGGTAATGATAGATTTACTACACTGTCTTTTTGTATACACAGGTGATGTCGTAAGCTCTTGATGGTAATGTCCTTGGAGAAAATAGTATATTTTACCATTAATTATTTCTAACGCTGTTGATACATCCACCTTGTGTTTATTATCTATTAAATGTTTAATGATCACACTCATGAATACTTTACTTCATTTTGGACACAACTTACGGAGAATGTATTTGAAATACCATGTAAATATCCTTCTTTTGATCCTTCCTATTCAATTTCTTTCACAAGTACATGTCAATTCATAACTACAGTTAAAGGTGATATCAAAAAGAGTATTGATCCACCTTTGATTGATTTAAGGGATCATTTGATGTTATACACCAAAAATAGTTGAGCTTTATAGAAGTTTCTCTTTAGCGTTGCTATAATACTGTAATCAATCTTGCCCAATATTTTCTCACCTATACACATAAGAATATTGTTTTACTTAATTTACTTATGATGAACACTTAAAAATACAAGATAATTATTTATATCCGATCTAATGTGATTCGTATTTTAGTTTAATTTTTGACTTACTTAGATGTTTATCTATAACAATTATGAAGGCCAACTATGATTTGGAAAGAGAATATTATTAGTTCAGATTGTCTTACTGTAAACACATAACGTTACTTTCAAAAATTTTCAACAAAACATATAGGGTGGTGATAACATTGCAAACCGTAATGTTACTAAGAAATCAGAACACTATACTCGAGTAGGTAGTTAGATTATTCCTTTTCATTGGTAAAAAAAGTTGAAGTGATCCTCAACCAGACATTCTAAATTTTCTTGTTTTTTTTTCAGAACAGGATGAATTCGTGAAAATACACTATCATAGTTCACAAACAAAAAAATCATTTACTTTTCAAGTTGACTACCGGCATCCAGACTGAATCATTAACCATTGATGATCTATGAATTTAACCATAGTAAAAGTTTCTTACTTAAGTGTAGTAAAGTGAAAGTTGGATCATTTGAAAGATTTGTACATACAGATAAAAACACATGCCTTTGAAATATGCTATCTTTGTCAAATTGAATTTTGCTTGACCAGTATTAATCGAATGCTGTAAAACGTCTATGATTCGATCATTTTGTTTCAATCATAAGAAGTAAATTTGTGTAAATTAGTTCATTTGAACAGTTTGTAAAAGCGAATAATCACTAAGACAATGTTTCCTTCAAGTTAACAACTCATTCACCATACTCAGTCATGACCTGTTTAGAGATCATAACATCGATATCAAAGTTTAATTTCAGATACTTTACTAATCAGACACTAAATAATAAGTCAGTAATCTACTTCCAACATGACTGAATTCCATCAGTCATTCTTTTTCACAAGAAGTTAGAGAAATATTTGCAAAATCAGTCACTATTTTATCTACACATCACTGCCATTTATTAAGGTTGTGAGTTGTAGAGATTGTTCAGTCCTGACGATGGTTGGTTTCAGATTCAGTGATCTAAAAATCTTATGCTCATCATAAGACTTGCATATCATACGTTTGATTTCGTTTGAATTCTCAAAAACCTATCGAACTATAGTTCACTGTTTTTCTATTCGTGTTTCGATCATTGACCTTTATCAGTCAATCATATTTTTAAAATAAAAACATCAGTAAAACGTACTTCAAGTTATTAATAAACCTGACTCTTATGTTAGGATAACCATCCCTTTTTTCAAGTGTTCAATTAGTGTGTAACATCTAGCATTTTCAGGCATATTTCTGTTTATTTAATCGGTCAGTACTGCAAATAAAACTCCGCCTGGAGTCCCTCCAGGGGCTACTGCTGGTCCCAAACCCAGATAAAGGAGGAGGGTTGGGTATGGGGTTAGCGACCCATATCCCGTAGAAAACTAACTTGCTAAAAAAACGCTTACCAGAAAAAAATTATTTAAACCATTTAAGTACTGCAAATAAGAATATCATTTTCACTTGAAAGTTCATTTCAATCATTTACATATGTCTTCCATAAAGACGACACTGTAGAACATTTCAACTTGACAGAAAAGTAAAAAAAACTAAATAAACTGAGAGTCAAAACTTAAAATAAAATTTTCAATTTTAAATGTAACACACCTACTTTTTCTGGTTAGCGTTTTTTTAGAGAGTTTGTTTTCTACGGAATAGAGTCCTTAACCCCATGAAAAACCCTCCGGGGACGGCAGTAGCCCCAAGGGGGCTCCAGATATTATACAATATATTGAACATTAAAACATAGATTCGCAGTAACTTTACATATATGTATCTTATCTCAATTTTTATCTCTCCTATTTTGATACATCCCACTTCTATAATTTCATATCTTTGGGTCAATATTAAAGATTCAAAATTATTCCACTGCTAACCACTATTCATCTTTGTATATAATACTTGTGAATTAAGACTATATCGAGGCAATACATAAAGTATGCAGATATGCCAATAACAAACTGATCATTTACAGTCCTAAATATCAATGGAAAGATTCAAACAAACAGTACCAATTGAATTTAAACTTTATCCCATTGCACAAACAAGTGGCTATCAGGACTCAGTACCTAAGTAGATAACACGAAGGCGCTTCTAGCGAATGATACTGAGTTCGAGTCCTAAAGTGAACATCAACTTTGAGATACAGGTACATCCACCAGCTGACTAATCAAAATAGGACAAAACATGCGCCTTGTATTCCACTACTAATCACTATCCATCTTTGTATATAATACTTATGAATTAAGACTATCTCAAGGCAATACACATAGTATGCATATATGCCAATAACAGATTGATCAATGGGAATATTCAAACAAACAATACAGAAGTGAATTGAAAATATTACTTCCCTTAATAATTTTTTGATTGGTCAATTCATCGCAATATTTCTTCTTTTTTTGAATGGTTACCATGTCTACTTTATTTATTTATTTAAAAGAAAAAATCTGATTGGTCAATTCATGGTCATGTGTCATCAATTCTATCTTCATAATATCCATGTAAAATTAGGCACGCGATCAATTTTTTTTAAAAAAAAATTATTTTAGTTACAATTATTGTGTTTAATTCAAAATGTCAATCGATTGCAATTTATCACCTACCATTGAACCAATTCGTCAATTATTTACAAATAAATTATTACAGAAACCAATAAAATATAAAAATATTCAAATAGAAGCCTATGAAGCATGTATGAAAAGTATACAAAATATTCAAGATCAATATAATATTGATTTAAATCAATTAAATACATTAAATTCAATCATAATTAATGATAAATCCTATTGGAAATGGGAAATAATTAATTCAACTATTGAATATATACCATCATTTTATTATCATCAAAATTATGATCGATCTAATAAAATGATAAATAATCATCATCATAATAATAATCAATTCAATAATCAATATTCTATAAATAAACATTCAATGATAATTCCATCAACTCCATGCAAAAAATTAAATCAAATTGATCAATCTCATCATACAATCGATAATAATGGAATATATATTAAAGATCAATTCACTTGTAAACAATCTATTCCATTGAATAATGAAATGAAACAGATAACATTACATAATAATCAATCATGTAATTTATTTACACTATGGCAACCAAAAATCAAACGTGAAAATTACATTCATTTAAACAAGAATCAATTAACAAATAAATTAAAAAATCAATCATCTTTCATAAATTATCGATCTAAAAGTTTAGATCATGATTTAAATCATTTAATACAATTAAATCAATTAAATCAATATCATAAAACTAAAATAAAAAATCAATTTTCTTCATGTATTGATCTTTATCAAATGAATAATAAACAAATAAAAAATCAATATGAAACCATTGATTCCCTATCAAAAGAAATTAATAGAAAATCAAAAAATGAACATATGATTAAAAAATCTAAGCAAAAAATAATCAATAATCATTTATTGATTACATGAAATATAAAATCGAATATTATGGTTTCTACTACTACTACTACTACTTTAATGACGATAAGTAAGTAGCATGTTGAAAATCTTTTTCGAAAAAATGTTCATTTATTTACTGACTACATGATGCTACAATTTGTTTTTTCTTCTGTTCAATGTATTTATGTTTTCCGTAAACAAAATAGTTTCTATGCAGTTTTGTGTTGTTGTTTTCTTGGTGGAGTTTTGTTCTTTGAGCTGGAATAAAACTCTATCAAAATCATTCATCTGAAATACAAATCTTTTCCATCATCTCAAATCATAAGTGTGTTGTTGAAATGTCATCATAAGCGACAAACAGTTTGTTCTGATTAAGTATATACTTGATAATTCACTTAATTGATTTCATCTTGATGATATCATCTAAAAAAATATTCATAATTCAATCTTTCATCTGGAAGAATTCGATATTACAGAAATCCTTTATTCATCCTTCCATAATTACTTTTGATTTTTAAGTTCAAAACAGTTTAATCATCCGATAGTTTTTCAAAGTTCGTGTCCTTTTCTAAAGATTACTAGATTTCTTTTTGTAAACCACCTAATAATAATCTCACTTTTTCGATGTAAGTTGTATGGAGTTATTATCAAATTTAATAATGAAACCTATCTATGTCATTTTTGAAGCATTTCACTATTAATGGATTGAAAGAGAATTGAATGCCGACTATGTGGTTTAAAGGTTAAGCGATCACTGAAAGGTCTAAAGATGCTGAGTTCAATCTTTCATAAGGCTGTAGATAAACACAACTGAATAGTTCCATATTAGGGGCTAAACTAGTACGTTTTAGTCATTAGTTGTTATTATCACTAAAATTAGTTCATGATGTAAACTATTAACCATTTCAACTCCTTTAGAACTTTAAAAATAGTTTATAATTTAATATTAACTAGAAAATGATCAAATAAAAGTTATTCTTATTATTGAATTACCTAAATAGTAACTATATTATATTCCATATGAATAATTATAGAAAATTCATTTCGTCCAACTTTAAGACTCATCAGTGATGCCCACTTATAAGTTTACAGTAAATTATTATCTACAAATATCATGTTTTACATTAACCATGATACTTTTTATTCATTAAATCGAGATCTAATGCCGAATAGTCTCAGATTAACATAAAATACTTATTTACTACTTTTTTATAATCAGTAGTTTACAAATTGTTATTAGTCTCTTGAAAAAAAATAGTTTTAATGCAACTCAATAATTAACTATACACACTTTTGTATTTCATTTAATCTTGTTTACCTAAATCGAAGTAAGTTAAAGTCAATGACATAAATTATACTTCGTATATGTTTAAATTCATTAATTCCCTATTTTCAGAAGGGGTTTTGTCGAGATTTTTAGTAAATTCAATAGTTGAATTCATGAGTCAATTGAAGTTAGACAACCATGGAAAACCTAGAGACACTAGATGGCCATTTCATCCCATTGCGGGACTCATCAGCACTGCGCACCCACGATCGTGCCTCGTGGGATTCGAACCCAGGACTTACTGGTCTCGAGCGCGAGCACTTGACAACTAAACCACTGAGCCGTTCGGCATCCAACGGTGTTAATGTCTAACATCAACTAATCCACGAAATTGCGGCACCGTACACCAATGTCTTCAGTGAGCTAATATCTCATAACAGAACTGGTTGAACTCCATTAGTGACGGCTTCTCATTAGAACTCTAGGAAATACCTTTTGAAGTTAGTCACTAGTGAGCATAAAATGATTATTATAAGAAGGGGTTTTGTGGAAATTTTAGTAATTCCAATGGTTGAGTCGCACAATAGGACGAAACGGCTGTTTATTGTTTTCAGGTTTTTCCATGGTGATCTAGCTTCAATTAACTCATGATTTCAACGATTGAAATTTCCTATTTGTTAAGGTTATTTTTTTCAAGGTCAACATGATGAATTTTAAGCAGAATCAAATGTATTTATTCAAGATAAATTAGAATTAAATAACTGAACAACAATATGGTATGTTAATTAGATGTTAAATTATAATTAAACAATAAAAAGGTGTAGTTGGTAATCACTAAGGCGAAGTATACTCCCTTTTTTTTTTAAAAAAATTGATTTTCTAGTCATTTTATTAATAATTATATTTCATCTTAGACAATAACGGGGCGGATTTGCATGCATATAGCATACAATTCTCTTTGAACCTAACACACAACAATAGCATCATGCACTGTCCCATCGCCATTGGCAGATCAGGCAATCCGAAAGTTAAGAGAACACCATCAGGGTATTCATTAGTTTACTGATGATCTATTTAATAATGTTCTTCAAATTCCACTGAGAAATTATATTTAGTGGAGTTTGAACATAACGTGAATGAGACAACTATCTCTAATTGCATTTTGATGATTATCCTGATATATCATCAACTGAGTGAAGCTGGAATTTTACAAGTGAACGCCGATTTGTTAGTTCTAATAGTTAGTGGTTTATAGTGAGGTACGAAGGTCCTACTTTCGAACCCTAGGTGAGCACCACCGAAAAGCTTCCTTAGGAGAATCAAGTAATTGTTCAGTTCTCCTGGTTTCGAATCTCGCTAGGCAGGATCGGGGATGCGCACTGCTGAGGAGCCGTATGCTAGAATGAAACGGCCTCCCAGTGCTTTCAGGTTTTCCATGATGGTCTAGCTTCAATTGACTAATAAATTCAGTTATTAAATTACTACAATCTCCACAAAACCCCTTCTCATAATAATCAACATATACTCACGAGTGGCTGGCTTCAAGAGGTATATCCTGGAGTTCTAATGAGAAACAGTGACCAGCGGAGTTCAATCGAGTCAGTTGTGAGATATTAACTCACTGATGACAATGGTGGATGTGTCGCTCAGTTTCGTGGATTAGTTGAATTTAGACATTAACACCGTTGGATGCCGATCGGCTCAGTGGTCTAGTGGTTATGTGCTCGCGCTCGAGACTAGTAGGTCCTGTGTTTGAATCTCGTGAGGCAGGATCATGGATGTGCACTGCTGATGAACTCCACAATAGGAAGAAACGGCCGTCCAGTGCTTTCAGATTTTCTATAGTTGTCTAACTTCAATTGACTCATGAATTCAACTATAAAATTATCATTATTGTCATTGCTACAATTCACTTTTGTTTATTGTTTTTTTAGGTGACTACAAAACTGACTTATCGAATGTACAATATTCAATAGTGACCTTCGAGGAGATCATTATCATTATTATTTATCTTACTATTACTGCTAATAATAATAATAATATTCTTATTATTATGTACCAATTGTTTTAAAGCTAAACATTAATTTTATTCTATTTTGTATGTAACGCAATCTTTTCAAATATTTATGTATAGAATATTGAATTTTCTCTTGGGATCTTATATCTTCTCCTTGTACAAAAACAAATTAATATAAACTACGTGTTAATTTATACTTTTTAAAATATCAGAAGAGTTTTTTGTGGGTATTATAGTAATTTCATTGATTGAGATCATGAACACCATTGAATGATGGCCAGCTCAGCGATCTAGAGGTCAAACGTTTGTGCGCAACCAATAGGTCTTGGTTTTGAATCTCGCTAGACAGGATCATGGATGTGCATTGCTGAGGAGTTCCACAATAGGATGAAACGGCCATCCAGTATTTTCAAGTTTTCCATAATGATCTAACTTCAATGGATTCATGATCTCAACCTTTAAAAAAGTAAATTCTTCACATTGTACACATTACATATGAGTGTATATTCATTGATTTTGTTAAGAATAATTGTATGGATCCATTTCAATTCTTTTATGAGTCAAATTACATGTACAGCCTCTTTGTTTTCTTTCTATTTATTTATCTTTTAACATTTAAAATGTAATCTGTAATAAACATGTAAACATTCCAAGTTTGTTTTTATCCCAATAGTTTTGAAGTTTAGGATTAATATCCTTGATATTCTTAGTTATTTCATTTATTGATTTATCAAATGATAAGTGTATATCTACTACCTTATCAAAGAGTGAATTTTTTTATTTATTTCAACACATAAATATTGGTATAAGAGGGCACGAAATATATATGCGCCACACCATATTTGTGTGTGTGTGTGTGGGCTGTGAATCTGCCCGGGTGCCCGAACAGAAGCAGGTGGTTTTCTTGGGGGACCACTCCCCGGGCCTTTGACCTAAAAGTCTGATCCACAAGGTAGTGGAGCATCGTGAAGGGATGCATTCCCATGGTAGCCGGTGACCAACAATCGGTTCATACACCATTCGTTCACTCAGGATACTGGAGCCCATGTGCACCATTGGTTTGAGATCAGGTTAAAGCGCCGGACATTCGCTTTTCATCCTCTCATTTTCTTAAACAACACCCCGCCACGAGAAGGCAGTGAGTAGGACTTCCCTGGCAGAGGCTGTATACGCGTGGCTGTGTGAGAGCATTTCAAGAGGGAGGGCGGGCCCACCCCACTCTCGGCCGTACCAGGGCATTTGGGGGTATCAAAGAGTGAATACAGAACATTCAAGTCTCATGACAAACAATTAATCATCCAACTGATTAATGTTTGACTTATAAACCAATGTATTAAGACTCAGTGATTTAAAAATTAAGTATTTGTTGTGGGAGTTGAGCAACCTGATTTTTGTCCTCGATGAGATCATAAATGCCCACAACTGAATAGTTCTATACTCGGAATAAGCAGTTGTTGAATACTTTCTAGTTTCGAGTGCTTGTTCAACCAAAGTCAATTTGTGATGTTAATCTTTATTCTCAATAATCTCCATAACATCCGGTGCTAAATTTAATAATACACTTAGCATTGTGATTTCCATTCTTGAATAAGTTTGTCGATTACTCTCTCTAGTATCTTACAACTGATTTATTTTCGCTGTTAATTTAGTGCTAGAAGACATTTATAACTGATCAAATAACTGAAATAACCATTCGTTATGCAATCGAAAAACTCCTAGATGATGCAGAAAGCAACATATTCATGT